TTTTGTATGCTCGGTTTCTTCCTTCTTCCTCTTCTTTGGCTTCCTCCTCCTCCGTCAGCTCCAGCTCGTCTTCGCCGCCTGCCTTGCCTGGGGCGAGGCCTCCTCCCAGTGCGGCCAAATCATTGCGTCCCAGCGCCGACTTCTCGATTGTGACTTGGAGTGTTAGATTTGTTTTTTTTTGAAGGTTTGCTGCTGGCCGTTCTGTGCTTGAGCACGAATCCAACGCGTGGTCCAGGCTCACGGCGTCGCCATTTTGTAGGAGGCCCGTCGGGGCCAGCGCGACCTAGACCTGCTCGGGAAAGAACTCAAGGGAGTTCTTCTTGGGAGAGGCGCTTTTGTAGAAGATCGGTCTGCTGGAGAGAGTCCTGGTTCTGTGCATCCGCGGCTTCGGGCGCAACTTCGCACTCTCCATCGTCGTGTCCTGGTCCCAGGGCGCATTCGCTGCATCGTCGTGCACTGGATTCGTTGTCGTCTCCAGTTCTGCAGCGCCCGCGTCGACCCCGGCGGCGCCATCGTGCGGCGAGAAGGAGAGCGTGTGCATTTTCGTATCCACTCCTGTAGTGTTGACGCATGCGCGGCAGGGGGGGTCGCGCCGCGCGACCGGGAGGGCGAGGTGCGGGATCTGCAGTCGGGCCCAGTATTTCAATGCGCGTTGCCCGGATCTATGTGCAGTGGAACATGAGCATCTCGCTCATCTCTTGGTCGACTCGAGTGGCGACGGGCCTGCGACGGCGTCGTTGGCGTGGCTTGACCACAGCTTTATTCCGACATCGCCGGCGCCGTCCTCTTGGATTTCAATCCCAACAGCGTGTTGCTCTGGGCGACAACCGGGCGCTGGCCGCTATCTTGCCGCGCCCCCGTTTTTTTTTTTTTTTTTTTTTTTTTTTTTTTTTTTTTTTTTTTTTTTTTTTTTTTTTTTTTTTTTTTTTTTTTTTTTTTTTTTTTTGTTTTTTTTATTGTTTTTTGTTTTTTGTTTTTTTTGTTTGTTTTTTTGTTTTTGCACTTGTTGCGCCCTGGAGGTTTTAGAGCCCTGTCCTGGGCTACCGAGCGCAATGTGCACGCGATGCTTTTTGGGGGCCGTCCTGGGGGAGACGGGGCCCGAGGCCCCCGGCCCGCGCGTCGCCCCCGAGGAGGCGGAGGGCGCCGCCGAGGCCGTCGCCAAGGAGGTTGTTGACCACGCCCGCTCTGGAGGCCCCTCTTGAACGAAGGATTGCAAACAAAAACGAAGGACTGCAACGAAGGATTGCAAAAACGAAGGATTGCAAAAAAACCCAGGATTGCAAAAAAAAACCTTGAACGAAGGATTGCAATCCTTTTTTTGTTGTATTTGCAATCCTTTGCAATCCTTCGTTTTTTTTTTTGGCAATCCTTCTGTCGAGGAGGAGGTCAACTGGGCCCTCGCGGCTCCGCGTGCCACCCCTTGCGGCTTGCAAGCTTTCCGGCGGCGCGCCCTTGGGGCCTTGCCCGAACTTCAGCGGTACGGTCGGGGCTCTGAAGAAGGAAGCCTTTTCGTTGGAGAGGGGCTCCGTGTTCCTTCATTTTTTTCATTTTGCCCCAGGTTATCCTTGCATTTTCGATGGGTAGTCGAAGTTGAACTTCTGGAGAAAAGGGGCCTCGTTCCATATTTAGGGTTCCTTAGGTCAACGCCCCGACTGTATGTCTGTCCGCGGTCTGGCGCGCGGCTTGATTCGCCGCGCTGTCGCGCGTGCTGGGGCATGCTAAAAACTGCGCAGCTTGAGGGGCAGCTCGCCGAAGTCGATGCATCTGACAGGCCGTAGGTCCAGAAGCATGCGTCACGTAACAAGTCGGCGTCTGATCTATCCGCGTGGGGGACAAGGGGGGCGAGAATCCTGCTTTCGGCAGCCTCGGATCCGACTGGCCAGCAAATCATTGATCCCAGTGCTGCCGCCCGTCTTCTTGCTCACCGCTGGGGGCAAGCGCGTGCCCCTGCCGATGGCGAAGCTGATCGCCGTGCCGGGTTGCGTCCGTTTCTGAAGACTGTGCCCTCCTCATGTTCTGGGAGATGGAGTATGATGAACTCTGCCCTTCTGCGGCAGCTGCCAAGGCTTTGTGTCCCGGGCCCGACGGGATCCCGGGCCCTGCCAGGGCTCGGGGAGGTGTTTCTACCGTGGGGCCGTCGTTTCGTTCGTCGTTTATCGCGGGATTCCTGCGCGTGGTCGGCTCCCCGATCGCTTCAACTCCGGCGCTTTTGTCTTTGTGTTTCGCTGGCCATCTCAGACGCGGCCAATTGCGCTCGGCAGCTCTGGCAACAAGCCTGTCAGGCGTGCAGTCGATGTGCCAGTGGCCCGACCTATACAGGAGGTCTGTTTCGAAATCCAGAGGGACCTCACTCCGGGGGGGAACTTTTACCAGCGACATCGTTGCCCTAGAGTCCAGGGACATTGAATGGTGCATCCAGGACGGGTTGGGGCGCGCGGGTTATGTCACGCATGACATCAAGGCGGCCTTTCCCGCCCTCCTCCACGCTGTGATCATGTTC